AGCGGGGAGGCGGAGGCGGAGGGGGAGGGGGAATCTTTTCATCAGCCGAAAGAATGAATGACCAGGTTGAAGGGTTTTGGAAGCCCGCTTGCCCCCGCCGCCTGGCCGCACCCGGCTTCTTCTGGGAATAAGACGGGATCCCCGGGGCCGGCTCCCAGCGGCCGCACGGAACCCCCGACCCCCGTGGCTCCCCTGCAAGGACAGAGAGAAACACGCACCTGAGGGTGGCGTGGGGCCAGCAAAGCGCCTCTGAGAACACGCAGCCTCGAGCTTAGCGGGGCATCCCATCCGCTGCCCCGAGCGCTGGAATCACCGAGCGGCGAGCGCAGGACGGCGCTAGGACTGCCCCTGCTGCCTGACAGGCGCGCTCTGCAGAGCCGCGCGATCAGCCCTCCCAGCCTCCCTCATCAATATGCATGAGCAGTCGGTGCGTGATCAATATGCGCTGCCAGCAGCGCGGCGGCTCCCGTCCCGTGTGCAAGGCCCTCTCTGGGCAGACGCTGACTGGAGCCGCTGCCCAGGGACAAGCCCCACTCTGGGTGCTCGGTGGGTTCTGTGGCAGCGAGCAGTCTTTGGCAGGACAGCGATCTTTTGTCCCTAAATCAAAATGCCAGGCTCTCAGAAACGACGCGGGCCAGCTCTGCTTTCCAGAGCACCCCCGCCAGCCTGCTTCTGACGGAGAAACCAATAAAAATGGAGGATGCTTCACAAAGACCTCAGAGAAATGAGACGAGCGTGCTGTCTCTATAATGCTGTTGCCATTTGGGAACTTGGCAAAGGTTTTATTCAGACTCACAGAGGCACGCATTTCCGCACCAGCAGCTGTCCAGCACCCTCCAGGAAAAAATATATATATAAGGGGAAAAGCTCTCTGGCAACAACAAAGGCTTGTTCTGCCTCGGTTTGCAAGCCATTTTGAGGCAGTCATTAAAATCGCTGATTGATTCCCTATATACTACTAGCACGCTTGGGGAAGGTGGAGTCAATTCAGGTTCATGGGCATTGCCATTATTCAGAACAAGCTGTGGGTCTACCCTATTCCTGATTTCAGCCCGTCATATTAACAATGGCTCTTTTTTTCTTCGGCTGAGCCTTAGGGTCAATTTTGGGGTGCACGGTTCTTGTGCATGAAAAGAAGTTAGGAAAGGAACATATTAAAATGGTGGCAGACCCTTTCCACATCTTTTTTGCCTATGGCAAAAAGCAGCCAACCAGAAAAGCATGAAGTCAAAAAGAAAAGGCTTTGCTGAAGTGGTTGAGCATGGAACAATACCTTAGGCAGATAATGTCTAGCTGCAGAGAGAGAAAGAAAATGACCGCAGCAAAATTGCTCCTATCCACTTCTGGGGAAACAGGAGAGGAAAGAGGAGAGACCCAGAACGTAAATTCTGATGTTACTGAATTTACAAGAAGTTTACTGTGTCCCTTTATACACGCACACAATAATATAAAGAATACATTTGAGCATGATGGGGTTCAAAGAACATTACTTACTAATTGAAACAATATGTATTGTCTAGCTTTATACTGTATTACACTTTTTGAAAAAAACTTAAAAGAGCTGTAAGGCTGCAAATCCCATTACTGAATAATTAAGAAATACCAGAAATCAGAATGCCTACACAAACTTAATTTTTCTCCTTATGCTGATGCCACATTCTATTATTTTCATACAACCCTGGTCTCATTCACTGAAAGGGTACTTTTTTCCATTTTTCTTTGTAACTCTATCATTTAATGCACATGAACTCAAGGCTTATTTAATGCATACACAAAACTTGATTATAAAATATTAATTTTATCATATACAACCAAAATGCCCATCATGAATGATGGACACAAATGGTGTCATTATGTATCCCCAATACAGAAAAATCCTGGAAACCAGGAGGATGCTGGTTAGAGCAATGAATATGACCTGTGTCACAACCCAATTAACTTGTGCCCATGCCACTGAGCAAGAGATAACATTCAAATCATCTTCATTTGACTATTAAGGGTTAAAAGACTTCCCTGCCAAGAAATTCCTTGAAACAAAACGCTGGTGGTGTACTACAGATAATTGGTCAGCTGAAATAAAATGCTGGGGGAAACTATATATAATTGGTCAAAGATAAACGTAAGCTCCTCACACGTAGCACACACGTAACAGGTAGGAAAACCTAACCCACTACCTTGTAACTTGAGGAGACAAAGAGATGCCACCTGCCAAAAATTAAAGATTCCATATAACGGTTCACCATTGGATATTCCTGTAAAACACCTCTGCCTATAAATAGTTTAACGGTTTCCGCCCAAGGCGGAGAGCTCTGGGGATTTCACAGGAAACACCTGTGCTTGTCACCAGAAAATTGGGAAAGTGATCAATTCCTAATCAATTGCCCCGTCAGCGTAAAATATTGACGTAAAAAAGTCTTGCAAGCGCGACCGTCCGTTTTCGGCGCCACGTCCGTCATTATCTCATCGTAACTTAACTGCGTGCGTGTACTTGACTCTGTAACCGAAGTTATATGCGCATATTTGACTCTGTAACTAAAGCTGTAACGGAACGAAGGCTCACCTGCGTCGTCCATCACTATCTAGGCGACGTAAGTAAACAAACTCCTGTAACCTAGCCAAGCACAAGAATACAGATCTCCTTTTAGGGAGCCGAGCTGCAGGTTACTGTAACTGAGGTGCCACTTCATGAGTTCCTTTCTTCTCAGATCAAAGCAGGCATTGGAGGAAGACAAAGTCAATCCATCAGATTTCCTAAAACATTTAACAGAGCCAGTGGCAGGGACCAGATCAGCAATTCAAGCTGCTCATTACATGGAAACCACCCTGAGTCTCCTGAAAAAGAAGCTACAGCAGAATATGAAGAGACCGTTCAATATCACAGGTAATGTGGGTACAGAACTGTAAATAGTTACATTATGTGGCAATTCTGCTCTAGGGTAGTATCTGCATTACCAGGAAGCCAGGTGTACAAAGCCCCTTCCTGACAAAACATGTGAACTAATTATAACTAATAATATTAATAAGTAATAACTTTATATAATCTCATCTTCTTTTATGACTTCTTCTTCTTCTATGTGTGTGTGTAAGTGTGTGTAATGTGTGCTGCTTCCCTGCACAGTGGTGGATCACACTGCCAGGGAAAAAACTGAGCATAACTCCTACGATTTCCAGCAGAAGTCTGCTCCCTGCCCTGTGCTGGATTATGAGATGCTGAGGCCCTAAATTATGTCCAGTTTAAGAGGCCCCATATGATAAAAATAATCCACAAAAATCCATGAAAATGGATTTTCATGAAATTTTAAGATGAATTATTGTTATTTCTTCACAGATTTATTAACTCAATATGAATAATAACTGTGGAGCCATATATATGTATATTTTTGTCATATTTGAATTAAAATGTCCATATTTAGAGAGACATTTTTCCATATCTCCTTGATCTCATTTATCTACCAACTGATTATTATAAAACTTGATATTGAGTCAGGTTTTTTTTTTTCTTATTTAGAGGTCCCTCGTATTGTGAGGCCCTAAACTGTAGCTTAAGCCTAAATCCAGCACTATTCCTGCCCTCCTGGCTTTCCTGTTAGGAAGGCAGGCTTAAACTCAGGAGGGAATGTAGGCACCTTATAGCCATTTCAGGTACTTAAGCCTCAAGTTCAGATCCTCAAAGCCACCTCACAGCTGCTGCCTGACCCTGAAGGGCTCTAAATTCCCCACTGTTTACTGCTGGTAAGGAACATAGCTAGGTGGATCAAGGGGTGGTGGTGAAGTGGTAATCACACACCCCTTTTGATTCCTGGTCCACCCAAAGTTTAAAGCCAACTGCCTGGCAGTGGCAGTAACATTTCTATTCAGGCAGCAGTGAAAGTATCAACTGATGCCATGGCTCATTGTAATCTACCTGGTTCTGTCTAAGCTCTTCATTCCACAGGACACTCCTTTATTTTTAATGGTCTTGATGTTCCACTAATCAAGCTATACTTGCTTCTGCAGCTTTCCCATTACCTGATCTCTTAATGTAGCTCCTAATCCACAGCCTTACAAGCTGTTTTTAACCCTAGCTAAAAAGTCAACTAAGATATGGAAACATTAATTCAGATGAATATCAACTAAGGTATGGACATAACTTCCAGTGAAGTATTGGATGCATTGTCAAGAAGGCTAGATTTTGTTCTATAAATCTAAAAAAAGATTTGACATTTAATTCTAATGCCAAGATAACTTTGGCTTTTTTTTGTACATAGTTTGTTGTCTTTTTATATATCACATAGCAAACCAATACCAATGAATTCCAATGAAGTTATTCTTGTTTTGCTTCAATTGTAAACTGAATAATACAGCCCTAAACCCCTAGCATAACATTTAAAGCTTCTAGTTTCTTTTTACCCAGAGAAAAATATGTTGCTTTGCATATGATGATGCACCATCTGCATCCTCCCCACCACTTTTCAAAATCTAGATCTCCCTATGAGCACAGGCACCTAGTCCTCACAGGGTGGAGTACCTCGGTGCCTGAGCCTCTGCAGGAGAAGAGAAACAGAGTTCATCCACTCATGTGGATTGAGTCATTGTTCTTATAGCACAGCTGCTAAACTGGGCCCAGCACAAATCCTTTAGTGATAGTGCCATCTCTCTCCGTTACCCAGAAGTTAGAGCATTTACCAGGGTCATGAGAGACACAGGGTCCCTCTCCGTGTGATCTCAGCTGAGGTCTCCCACCTTGCAGGAAAATGCCCCAGCAGCTTTGGGGTGAGCACCTCTCATTCTCCTGTGGAAGCTGTTCTACTTTGTTTAGCATAATTAAATATTCATTAGAACCGTGACTGGCCTGCGACTTTCCCACACCCCATGTGAATGACCTAATCCCCAGGCTGTAGAATCCATCTCATTGTGCGCGTCTACACATCACCCTACGGCAACATAACAATACGCTGTGTCGCCATATGTTGCACTACGTCACTGTAGTGGCACACTCCCTGGGTATGGCGTGCCACTATGGTGATGTAGTGGCAAAATCTAACCATGTGCTGCATACATGGTGCAGGAACTGCCCATACTGTGCCATGCTTTATTACCAAAAGGAAATACTAAAACATGGTGCCATAGCAATGTAACCATACAGTAACATGTAGGTGCACCCATTCTTTCCCTCAGTCTTAACAGCGGTAGTTGACCAGTGCACACAACACACTGAAATCTGCAGGACCGTCGGCCTGAGCACGAACAACGTGTTGTGGCTTCTGTCTAGAATCTCCATATCTGGCATTTCTCTCCTCACCGATGTTTGCTGCATCTTCCAAATCAGTATCGTTCTCTCCTGCTGGCCTGCTCTCTCCCTGTCACATTCTCAAATGATGCCCCAGGGCTAGTTATAACGTTTCCCATG